TTCCTGCTGGCCTGGGGAGAGTCTGCTGAACGAATGCCCAGCCTCCTGCTATGATCTACGGCTGTCCGTTAGGATCATCAGCCCTTCAACCTGATCAGTAACTAGGTCAGGGTCTCAGGCTAGGAACGCGGGGCAGCCTGTCGGGTCTCTACTCATTGTTCCTGGGCTGCAATTCTTCTCAACCTCCTGAACTGCTTTTTACATTTTTTTCTGTCTCCTCTCTACTATTACTACATTATTTATTGACGCTTTTTTTTTTTTTTTGGCAAAATCCCTCTGTTCATTATTACATTTTAGTCTATTATACAATATAGAAGCTCAGAAAAACAATCTTATTTTCTCTATGGCTATTGGTCTGTCCAATCCAGAAAGTTCATGAATCTTAGTGTATATTCAAGGGACACTTAGTGACCCTTTTCTTTTGCTTCTTCATTGATCTCTTGTTTCAGCTGTGTTTCAATTGCTCAGACTCTCAGACGAGGTCCCTTCATACCTATATGACACATCTCGTTAGGACCAAATATGGTGTCTTTGGGCTCAGGGTCTGTGTGCAGCTAACGAGCCAAGAAGGTAAAGCAAACCTTACCTTTTTGTAGAGACTCCTCAGATCTCGGTACTGCCACATGCTGTTCAGAACCTGAGATGCGGCCTTGATTACCTTCGGAGAGTGTCTGATAAAGAAAAGACAGGACACGCAAGACGGTGAGCGGGACAGCTGGGCTTCAAATTGACTTGTCAGGAAACAGCAAGAATAAAAAGAATAAAAGCTTCATGGCTTTTCTGGCTCTTTTCTTTTTCCAGACTGGACAGTACAAGGGATGGCTGTCACCAGTCTCCAGCCTCATTCTCACCCACATATCCATGAAGGGGAGAGACAGGAAGACACTGCAATTTGGCAAAGAATTTTCAAAATGCAAACCCAAGAGCTGTGCGTTGCCAATGCAAACCCAAGAGTCAGAATGCAGATTTAGCGCTGGACTACAAAATGGAACAGAAAGAAGAGAAGGAGAGCGACTAGGAAAGGCCAGATTAAAGGGTTTTAATGGCAGTGTTGTTTAACACCTGTGTAATAAGTAAGGAGAAAAAAGATATTCATTTTCTCAACTGAAGCGTGAGAGCACGTATAGCGTTGGCTCTACATACCTGAGGGGTTACAGGCAATTGTTTTCCGTTTGCTGATGATGCCAAGCACAAGTGACTGGCATGAAGCTGACGTGTGCACACACTGGCACACACACTCTCTTACATTTATATGGAGGGATGAGCGTGGATAAGCATCTATAAACAAAGCCCTTCATGCAATTAAAGTTCTGTCCTCTGGATCAGAGTGAGAAAGTAAGGTCATGAAAACCTTTGGACTAGCGGTTCTTACCATTTGTTTTGAGTCATGGCTTTGAAATCCCTATGAAACGATAGCTAAATATTTCGCCTTTTGGTTCAGTGCCAACCTGCATCTCAGAACAGACACTAGGTCAACACATCCGTGTTGATTAAATTCGATCCAATTCTTGGAAGTCACTTTGACTAGTGGTGAGGGCAACTATTAACTACCTGTGGATTCTCTGTTCCAATGGGCTGGGTCCACAACAGCTGCACAACTTGAGTGGCTACCGTGACACTGTGCCTGATCGCAAGGGCTAGCACACTTTTGCTGTAAAGGGTCAGATAATAAATATTCTGTGATTTGTGGGCCATATGGTCTTGGTCGCAGCTGCTCAACTCTGCCATTGCAGGATGAGAGGAGTCATAAATAATAGACAAAAGAATGGAAGTGGCTGTGTTCTAATCAAGTGTTACTTACAAGAATGGGAGGTGGTGGGGATTTGGCTTGTGGGTTGCAGTTGGCTGACCCCTGGCCTATGTGGTGACTCCTGGAGTTGGGCAGGACATAACCACTCATGAGGACTCCAAGGTGAAGTCCACCCCTGAAGCTGACCCATGGTGCAGTGGCCCACAGATCCCTCAAAGAGAACATCTGAATTGAGATCAAAAGTGCTTCTGACATAAAATAGTTTTTAAAATGCAAAGTAAGCAGATGGTTAGATGGGATCAGGTTGAGCTTGGATTTGAAAGCCAGAGTGAATGGATGTGTGATGAACTACAAATGAAATGATGGGATGCTAATACATGATCAATTAAATGTCTGCTATTTTCCTGGGTCTTCACATTTGCAATGTAGACCAACTACGTTTAAGTACTCTTCATCCGTTTACTTACTGGAAACAGTAACAGTCACTCTTACTATTATTATTGCTGACTTGGAATTCAACTTTGGCTGTGTTTGAAAATCTCTCAGTTATATCGTGTACTTTTAAAAGAAAAAAATACAGAGTTCTTATAAATTTCAAGATTTTTTCTCTATGAGAGATAAGCTGTATTTAAGTAATATATATGTTTTCTTTCACTAAAATGGACAGTTGCTAAATGATTTCACATTTATGCTAGTATCATGCTCTAAATATATTAAATTCTTTTGACTCAGAGAATTTTAGATCTTTTCATGGATACAGACACAGGTACACTTTATTCTTTTTTAAAAAACTGAATTATAATTGACCTATAGCACTCTGTCAGTTCCTAGTGATCTGATATCTGTATACATTACAAAATAACCACCGTGATAACTCTGTCACTACACAAAGTTATTACAATATTATTGACTATATTCCCTGCGCTGTATATTTCATCCCTATGATTCATTTATTTTGCAACTGGAATTTTGTATCTTTTAATCTCCCTCACCTATTTCACTCACCCCCCCCCCAATCCCACCATCCCGCTCTTCTCTGGCAACCACCTGTTTGTCCTCTGTATCTATGAGTCTGTTTCTGTTTAGTTATGTTTATTCTTTTGTTTTGTAGATTCCACATACAAGTGAAATCATATGGTATTTGTCTTCCTCTGACTTATTTCACTTAGCATAATACCCTCTAGGTCCATCCATATTGTTGCAAATTACAAGATTTTATTCTTTTTTTATGGCCAAGTAATAGTCTCTGTCTCTGTCTCTCTCACTATATGTCTATCTATCTATATATCTACCTATCTCACATCTTCATGATCCATTCACCTATCGATAGATACTTAGGCAGTTTCCATATACTGACTATTGTAAATAATGCTATAATGAACACTGAAGTGCATGTATTTTTTTCTAATTAGTGTCTTTGTTTTCTTTGGAAAAATATACAGAACTTGAATGGCTGGATCATATGGTGGTCCTATTTTTAATTTTTTGAGGACCCTCCATGCTGTTCTCCATAGTGGCTGCGCCAATTTACATTCCGACGAACAACACGAGGGTTCCCTTTCCTCCACATCCTCGCCAACACTTGTTATTTTTGTCCTTTTGATGACAGCCATTCTGACAGGTGTGAGGTGATGTCTCATTGTGGTTTTGATTTGCATTTCCCTGATGATTAGTGTTGCTGAGCATCTTTTCATGTGCCTGTTGGCCATCTGTATGTCTTCTTTGGAAAAATGTCTATTGAGGTCTTCTGCCTATTTTTTAATTGTTTTTTTTTTTATATTGAGTTGTATGTTATATATATATATATATATATATATATATATATATATATATATATATAATCTTGGATATATACAACTGGATATTAACCCCTTGTTGGTTATATCATTTGTGAATATTCAATAGGTTTCTTTTCATTTTGTTGATGGTTCCCTTTGTTATGCAAAAGCTTTTAAGTTTAACTAGGTCCCTTTTGTTTACTTTTGCTTTTGTTTCCTTAGCCTGAGGAGACAGACCTCTCAAAATATTGCTATGACTTATGTCAAAGAGTGTCCAGCCTATATTTTCCTCTAGAAGTTTCAGATTTCCGGTCTTCCATTTAGGTCTTTAATCCATTTTGGGTTTATTTTTGTTTATGGTATTAGAGAATGTTCTAGTTTCATTCTTCTGCATGTAGCTGTTCAGTTTTCCCAGCATCACTTATTGAAGAGACTGTCTTTTTTCTCCATTATATATTCTTGCCTCCTTTGTCATATATTAATTGACCATAAGTGCATGCATTTTATTTCTGGGCTTTCTATTCCGTTCCATTGATCTATGTGTCTGTTTTTCTGCCAGTACCATACTGTTTTGATGACTGCAGCTTTGTCTGACTGTTTTTTTTTTTTTAATATTTTCTAGTTCCTTGTTAAATTTCTCACAGTGTTCATCTAGTCTCTTCCTGAGCTCAGTTAGCATTCTTGTTACTATTACTTTGAACTCTTTGTCTGGTAAACTTTTTTTTTTTTTTTTATGCGGTACACAGGCCTCTCACTGCTGTGGCCTCTCCTATTGCGGAGCACAGGCTCTGGACGCGCAGGCTCAGTGGCCATGGCTCACGGGCCCAGCTGCTCCGCGGCATGTGGGATCCTCCCGGAACAGGGCACGAACCCATGCCCCCCGCATCAGCAGGCGGACTCCCAACCACTGCGCCACCAGGGAGGCCCTGGTAAACTATTTATCTCTGTTTCATTAGGGTTGTTTTCCACCGTCTTCCCTTGTGTTTTCGTTTGAAACATATTCCTCTGTCTTCTCATTTTGTTTAACATTCTCTGTCTCTATGAAATTAGGTGCAGGAGATGACTATTCCAGTCTTGAAGGGGTGTCCTTGTGTGGGAGCAACCCTATGCCATCTGCGTGTGTGCCCAGTGGATGGAGAGAGAGCTGGCACAGTGGTGGGAGAGCTGGATCTGAAGTGAGCATGGGTCACGTCTTCCCCTGGGGTGTGCTGGCAGCTACCACCTTGTTGGATGATATGGCTGGAGATGGAGGGGTTAGAGTCAGAGCCAGGTGTGAACCAGGGCCTCTTCTGTGCTCAGTGGCAGTTACCACCCTATCAGGAGCTGGAGCAGAAGCCCTGAGGGTCTAGTCCGAGCTGGTTCTGTTCTCTCTAAGCGTGCACACTCTCCTTGGTCATGGTGGCCTCCACTCTAGTGGAGAGCAGTGCCGGAGCAATAGGGGCTGGAGCAGGTGCCCAGTGTGGGCTGGCATGGTCTTGGGAAACCAGTTAGAGCCCCAGACAGTTTTCAATCTGCTTCCTCTGAGCTATTCCCAGGAGTAAGCAAGTTTGTGCATGGGCTGTTAACAAGCGAGTCTTGTTCTCTTCTTCTGTAAATCCTACTGGTGTTTAACCAGGTAAGGCAACTTGTCTTCCTGGTGTCTGACCCCAGGGCTGGGGTGCTCAGTGTGTGATTTGAACCCCTCGCTGCCCAGGGAGGATCCCTAAGGCCATGATATCTCCTTCTTCTTCTGTGTCCCCTGCTAAGGGCACAGGTCCTGACCTGACCACAACTCCTCCCTTCCTCTGAACATACACACTCTGTGTGTATCTTTCTTTACAGACTTTGTTGAAGAAGAGCCTTTCTGCAAGTCTCCAGGTTGTTTTCAGTAGAGTTGCTCCACGTGAAGATGATTTGATGTGTTTTTTTGGGGGAGGTGGGCTTGGTTTCCTCCTACTCCACCATCTTGATCTCCCTACTCCACATTTAATATTTTTTACTTCATATTGTGTATCTTTTTCTGTTTTGTATATCCCTTAACTACTTATTGTGGTTACAGATGATTTTACTACTTCTGTTTTCTAACCTTCCTACTGGTTTTATAAGTGGTTTATCCACTACCTTTACTGTATATTTATCAATGACATTTTTCCTTTGGTAATTTTCATATTTCTACTTGTGGTCTTTTCTTTTCCACTTAGAGAAGTCCGGTTAACATTTCTTGCAAAGCTGGTTTAGTGGTGCTGAACTCTTTTAGCTTTTTCTTGCCTGTAAAACTCAAATCCGAATGATAATCTTGGTGGATAGAGTATTCTGGGTTGTAGAAGTTTTTTCCTTTCATCGCTGTGAATATATCATGTCACTCTCTTCTGGTCCGCAAAGTTTCTGTGGAAAAGTCAGCTGAGAGTCTCATGGGAGTTCCCTTGTACATACTTAGTTGCTTTTCCCTTGCTGCTCTTAAGATTCTCTCTTTATCTTTAATGTTTTCCATCTTAATTACAATGTGTCTTGGTGAGGACCTCTTTGGGTTCATCTTGTTTGGGACTTGCTGTACTTCCTGGACCTGGGTGTCTTTTTTCTTTCCCAGGTTAGAGAAGTTTTCAGCTATTATCCCTTCAAACAAGTTCTCTGCCCCTTTCTCTCTCTGTCCTTCTGGATCCCTACAATGTGAATATTAGTATGCTTAATGTTGGTCCAAAAGTATCTTAAACTATCCTCATTTAAAAATTTTCTTGTATTTGGTGAGCTTGGTTGAATTCCACTACTCTGTCTTCCAGTCTGCTGATCCATTCCTCTGTATCATCTAATCTACTATTGATTCTTTCTAGTGTATTTTTTATTTCAGTTATTGTATTCTTCAGTTCTGTTTGGTTCTTCTTTATATTTTCCAACTCTCTGTTAAACTTCTCACTGTGTTCATTCTTCTCCTGAGCATCTTTATGATCATTACCTTGAACTCTTTATTGGGTGGATTGTTTATTTCTATATCACTTAGTTCTTCTTCTGGAGTTTTAGTTTTCCTTTATTTGCAACATATTCCTCTGTCACTTTGCTTTATTCTCTGTTTTTATCTCTGTGTATCAAGTAGGTCTGTTACGTTTCCTGATCTTGGAGAAGTGGTCTTATGTAGATGTCCCATGGGACCCAGCAGCACGCTCTCCTCTGGTCACAGAGATGTATGCTCTAGGGGTGTCTCCTTTGTGGTCTGTGTGGGTCCTTCTTTTGTGGTAGGGCCAACCACTGTGGGTGCACTGGTAGTGGGGCTGGCCCCTGGTCCAGTTGGCTGCCAGGCCCTGCCTTGTGTGGCGGCTGCTGGCTTGCTGGTGGGCAGGGCTGGGTCCTGACACAGCCGGCTGCTCGATGTAGGGGGTCCCGGGACTGGGGCTGACTGGCTGGTGGGCAGGTAAGCCTCTGGTGCTAACAGACTAGAGGGAGGACTCCTAAAGGCACTTTCTAGCACCAGTGTCCTCATGGTAGAACTGGCTCCCCAAAATGCCTGCTGCTAGCATCTCGGTCCCCAGTGGGGGGAGCCTCAGTTGCCTCCTGCCTCTCTGAGAGGCTCTCTAAGATCGGCAAGCGGTCTGACCCAGGCTGTTTTCAAACTGCTGCCTCTGCATGCTCTGTTTTGAGGTATGTGAGATTTTGCGTGAGCCCTTTAAGAGCAGAGTCTGTGTCTCCTATGGTGTCCCTCCAGCTCTCCCATCTGGGGGCTGGTCTTCCTGGTGCTGGCAAGCCCGATGTAGGCTCCTTGGGGAGAACCTCTGTGACTGTGATGATCCTCACATGTTATTCTTATATAATCAATGCTGAGCAAAGATTAAATGCTATGTTTTGCTGTAGTTTATCACCACTAGCTAGATATGTATCTGTGACAAAAGTCAAGCAACTCTGGAGGAATACATATTAATAATATTCAGGTAGCGATAATATAGTTGGAACATATTTAGTATGCAAAAATTCCTCTGATGGTGTAATTTTTTCCCTACTCCTTGCTTAGTTACAAAATAGAACGAGACTGTGAATACGTAATGAATAGCAGCTTTTAACCTCTCAATTAAAATGCCAATACATCACAGTGTTATAAAAAACTGATGAAGGTCAAAGAAACATTGCTTTCTTTTTAGACTTTAATTTTGATTCATCCACTAGACTGGTCCCATGCAGCGTCTACTTGAAAAACTATAACTATTGATTGAAGGACTTGAACAACTGAGTACTTCTTATGTGACAAGTGATTATAACCTCAGCCACAAACAGAGTTCCTTACTGACAAGTAACTGTCGAGGCTGTTAAATGGCTTTTCTGTCTTATGACAAAATACAGTGACACACTCAACACTATTTCCTACATAACTGTTAAAATCTGAAAAAATACCAATGTACTTTTGAAACAGATGGACTTGTCCATATTGCATGCTTAAAATGATGTGAAAAGAATAAGTTATCAAGACTTAAAATGGTAAGAGTCATTAACGATTACACAATGTCTGATCTTCACCAGAGGTGTCAAATTAGGGGCGGCTGAGAATTTCAGTTGATGCCATTCATTGTGGGTGTTCAGCATGGCCATTCCAGCCACAGGATTCCAGAATAATTCTTCCAGTATATTGGCAAAACATGGTGAGTTATACAGTTCAAACAGACTGTGATTGGCAACGTGCCAGGCTGACTCATTAGTATCACAGCATATTTAAGCTTGTGTATGTTTAGAAATAAAACCTATAAATATGTTAAAGGCAGAATCATAGCCACATAGGTTTTTTCATCTGTGTTTTCTCATGTGATCTCAAGTTAAAAGTTTGAATAATTTTTTGAGGAGGGCAAATTTGCAAGCATTTTATAACTTAACTAGAGCCAACTGATATCCCTCCCTTTTCCAATTATTAAATCATCTCCAATTCCAAAAATTCTATTTTCAATAACGTGTTTCTATTTTGTTAAAACCCATCTAGAAGGCCATGGGAGTCTCAGTGCCTACCCTCATGACAGAAGTGAGTGATAAATGGTGAGTTTAGTGGTAAGATCCAGAGTAATTCTTCTGGATTCATTTTAAGAGCAGTGAGAAGTAATAATCAAATTGAAGTGTAGGTGGTTGACAAGGCTATCTCCAGTTATAAAAACCTTGTTTTGATCCCCAAATTAGTCACTAAATATAAAAGAGATAAGCCACATAAAATAATGGATGAGACTGACTAAGCAGGAGAATTATAACTGGGAAGATGCTTGACTCAAAGCAATTCCACACTTCTTACTGAATTCATAAATCCAGACTGCTAACACTGGGGAAAAAAGATAAGGAAACAATGACATGAAATGAGTATCCCATAAAGAAATTTTTAGTCAATTTAAAGCACAGATTTGAGATTATTTGTAATGAAAGGAATCTCCCATTAACAATAATCCAGATGGGAACAGACTGAACAGTACTATTTTCTGGATTGGCAATGTGGATATATACTGTTTCATAGATGGTTTCCTCAAATGAGTTTTTAATTAGTTTCATCAAATAATTTTCTTTGACCACAGGACTGACAGAAGCATCTCTTCTCTTTAAGGTCCAGTAGGGATGCTCACACAGATGGAAGGAGTTAATGTGACCACCTCCCACAGCTCTACTGTCTTACAATTCAGAGAAAACACTTTCGTCTTGGAATGTCCCATGAATATAGACAAATATATCAGAGAGTTTTTGTGGACTATGGTTTTACTGTGTGAGCATGTGTGTTTGCTTAAGAAAAGCATCAACATATTAAGTTCTTAATGCTCAAAACAGGTAAGCATTTCAAATTAGAGATTCCAAAGGTCTACTGAAGCTATATAAAAAAGAAAACCACGTGGCTTCCTGCCTATATAGAAGAGCATTTTACTGTAAGTATTATAAGATATAATTCAAGCCATCCATCTACATTGCACAATTATTACACGAGTCCTGAGGGGCTTCTCTGTATTTGATATAGGAAAGTATTCAAATCCTAATCCTGAATTGTTCATTGAACCTATTTGGAGGTCTCAGGGTGCTTAAACAGAAGTCCTGAAACTTCACTTATTATGCAATGATAATATCTTGAATTAAATGAGAGAATTTCCAAAAAGTCTCAAAGTGCATCCTTCACAGCCTTTAATAACAGGAGAAAATTTATTCAGCGTTTAGATATAAAGGAATGGAGGGGTGCGGCCAGGAATGCAAAGTCAAGAAGTAGACCCTTGATAACAAAAGGTTTACCCTTTTAATCTTACTTGATTACACTGAGGGACTTCCAGGAGGCAAAACTGAATTAAGTTTAGTGAATGTTTTTGTAAAATTGACAGCTCGCTGATATACTGACACTGTGGCTTGTGAAGATATGTTTTGGTTACACAGAGTAAGACACCATCGACTCTTAAATCAAACTGGGGACATTCCTGTTTCTGGCGGTGCCACTCCTTTGACATGAGCCTTTTCTCTCTTTATTCCATTGGCGTAAAAGCCCTCCTTCCTCACTGCCTCCATCCCCTCTGCCCCGGAAATTTCTATTCAGTCTTTAAGACTTGATTACTACTTCTTTCAGGAAATATTTTATGACAGCCCCTCCCTCAGTTTTAGATTGGAAAGTATGAGCACAATGACTTGTTAAATTCAATAATTTGTCCCAAAGGCACAGCTGGTAAGGGAGGGTGCTGGTTGGACGCTGATTTCTCTCTGACTCCGTCATACTATTTTCTCCCCAATCCTCCCTGACTTGCTATGCAGAACTGAAGAGGCAGAGAACAAAAGGATGTGGATCCATCATCAACACTTGGACTTGCAGCCGCAGAGGAACAGCTGCCACCAAATACCTTCATGAATCAGGGTCGTCTCTTCCGAATGGAAGGAACTTGCTAGTCACTAGACTGGATGCTGGATTGTCAAGCCTATCTTACTAACATCCCAGGACTCACCAAGTCATGAATTATTTATCAAATCAAAATTATTAGTAAGATCAGCTTTCCTTGTTGGGGGGGGAAGACTGGAAACCATCTGCTGTTTTCCTTCTCTTGATTATCAGACACCAGAGTGCTTCCCAGTGACATTCAGTAGTGTTACCCATTCCCAGGGGATTCTGGGCACACTTAGAAACAATTCTACCAATACCAATCCTACGTGATAGGAAGTCACCGTCTGACTTACTTGTCTCCTTTGCTTTTGGAGATGCCGACCAACTTCTCGATGCCGCCGGCGTCCCGTAAGGCCTTGGCGTTCTCCATGTTCTTGGTGATCACCTCGTGCAGGGTGCAGCACACGGCTGTCACCGTGTCGTCCGACATGGCCTTGCTCGCCGCATTGCTGCTGTTATTCCCGCCTGGAAGCCGATGGACCAGGTCTCGCATGGCATATTTGCCTTTGGAAGAGAAAACGAAGGGAAGAGTTGAAATGTGGTCAAAACCGAGGAAAAGTGTGGAGGGAGAGGTGCAGACGGGGGTGAAAAAGAGAACACAAGAGGCCACGTTAATGCAGTGTTGTCTGTTCCCCATCACTGATTATTCTTTATGGGGTAACTGTGGACACATACACAGAGAAAACGGTATTTCTTCACAGCAAATGTACGGACTTTTGGTGCTGGACGGATGTGGGACTGACTCTTCGGACAAGTTATTTCATGCCTCTGAGCCTCAGCTTTTTAAATTGCGAAGCAAGAATAATGGTACCTCCCTTACAAGGCTGTTGCGAAGAAATGTGTGGGAAGCACTTAACACACAGTGATGACCCTGGACTCAGGACTCAATAGAAGTTAGCAATCAGTGGGTTCCTGCTTGCTATTCACAGAAGTCAGGAAAACATAGGGTAATTCTAACATAACCTCAAGAATGCCTTGACGGGAGCTATGTTGGGACTTGTATTATTTAACAAATAAGAGTCAAAACACAAAAATGTATGTATATATGACATGTGCATTCTGGTCCCTATAAAGCAAAGAGAAACATTTAAAGCGGGGAGAGAAACTTTACAAACAATATATAAAACTAGGTGTCCTCTGAACTAGGGTAACTGGATGATCAATCTGTCTCTCTGATGGGATTTTATTGAATGGTTCTACCATATAACATTTACTAATTTGACATGTTTTACTTCCCGTGGAAAAAATAAGATAAAATGCAACTTTGCTTTCTTAATTCACTTTATCATTATTAATCATGCTACTCCCCATGATAGAGGTACTTATAATGACATCTTTATGGAATACTTTTAGTTTACAAAGCCATTTAGGCATTACCAATAACCCTGCAAGACAATTAATTCATCCCACCTGCAGCTTCCAATTCTGTTCCATTAATTTACTTCCGGAACTAAGTAAAGGAATGCCTGTAGCAAAGTTGCCTGTTCTTAAATTTTTCAGGTGGAATCGGCATGTGTCCAAAGTTAAATTCCTGTCTTGTCTCCCATCTCCCAATTAGACATATTTAGGTAGCTCCTAAAAGCCATTTAAATATTTTTCCTCCTTATAGGTCTCTAAAAGATAACTTCTTTTGCTGTTTAATTCTCTGGCACGTGGTGCTTGGCGGGCAGGAAATGGAACCATGGAAGAAGGCAATGACATCTTAATTCCAGGCAGTAATAAATAAAACATAAGACTTCGTAATTTTGGTATCTGCTCTTATCCTATGTTTAGGTGGCTTATTTTAGCTTGGATGAAAAAAAAAATGCTGATGTCTAAATTACCGAAATAGGAAAGTGTCTTCATTCACTTGACGACAGCCGAGAAGTGTCTGACAAAAATGGTTTGCCTGAAAACCCCCAAATGTAGCATATTTATTTTCCAATGACAGCACTTAAAACAGGTTGGAGAAGATCCTTTGTACACGATAGTCCTCTGAGCACCTGGTTTTACCTACTCATCATTAAATCACACTCAGCTCGGGCTACGAGTTTAGTTCTGTTGAGCTCAGCAGGCTGGTGACTTTATCATTAACCCCGCACAAACCACTGTCAGACCAACTTGAATTCACAGAAGTGAGAAGATGGGCGCATTCTTTATCAGGGAAGTGACGGAGGAAGGAAGCAGCAAACTCTCTCAATCCTTATGCATACAGGGGCATCCCCACGCCTGAATGAGCACAGAAGACTGGTTGTGTGGCTTGCACATCATCAACATTGAGAGCAAAAATGAGGAGAGGGAGAGGATTAGGCTAGAGCATTTTTTTTTTTTTTTAGTTTTTGTTATCATCATTTAAAAAATTACGGGTTTCCCTGGTGGCGCAGTGGTTGACAATCTGCCTGCCAATGCAGGGGACACAGGTTCAAGCCCTGGTCTGGGAAGATCCCACATGCCGCGGAGCAACTAGGCCCATGAGCCACAACTACCGAGCATGCGCGTCTGGAGCCTGCGCTCCACAAGAAGAGAGGCTGCGATAGTGAGAGGCCCACGCACCACGATGAAGAGGGGCCCCCATTTGCTGCAGCTAGAGAAAGCCCTCGCACAGAAACGAAGACCCAACACAGCCATAAATAAATAAAAATTTAAAAATGACAACAGACTTGGAAGTGTGGTTTCATCTTACACAGCTTCCCAACCCGTGAGCCCTGAATGAGAAGCAAGGTGTCCCCATGATGTTCAAGGGGAGGAACCACCACTTTCCCCAGAGCAGCCTCTTCGACTTGCCCCCAGCGTGCTGGACAAATACTGTCATTTGCATGTGCTCCGCAGTGTGGCAAACGGCAGGAGTCACTGCCGTATATATATGGGCACAGGGACATGAAGGGCACCTGGGGCTCAGCAGTGCTTTGGGAGGCTGTGAGGATGCAGAGGATGAGAGCATAAGAGTACAGACCTCACCCTGTGGATGAGCTTTGCCAGTAAATAGAGGAGCTTCCTGTCTTAGAACGGGTGCCACCAACCACTGCAGACTGAAGACCACTCCCCCTTCCTCTGGATTTAACTTTGGTTAAAAATAAGTAAATGATATGACACAGCCTAACATCACAGAGTGACTCATGCAGATCATACCACCTAGCAGGTGACTAATATTTCAGGACAAGAGCAAGGAACTTGTGACTACAAAGACCTGGCCCTGAGGGGATCAGGAATAGAAGAGCAGCCATGATGGAGAGTCCTCAGACAAGGCTTCGAGCCCAGTGAAACGGTGGTGGTAACGCAGGGGAAGAGGATTCAGAAATTTCTAGCGGGGATAATGAGGTGGGTAGTGGAAACCAAGTGAATTCAGAAACTTAATAATAATGGACAAGTTGGATTTCTATTTTATTTTTCCACACAAAGGAAAACATGCTCAGCAATTCCCTGGTGGTCCAGCGGTTAGGACTTGGCGCTCTCACTGCTGGGACCCGGGTTCATTCCCTGGTCAGGGAACTTACGTCCTACAAGCTGCATGGTACGGCCAAAAAAAATAAATAAATAAGAAAAAAGAAAAACATGCACAACTAGTAAACATCATATGGGAGAACCACAGAGCAAAATCCCATGGGAGAGACAAACTGGTCATCAGGTTCAAAATACACTTAGATTTGTGAAAACAAAGTGAATACCTCGCCACCATTGGGAACCAAGGTGCTTTCCATTATCCACTCTCATTGGCATCACATGTTACAAAAGAAAAGCATGTTGCTCCGAGATTAAGACAGATGCTCCCTGAGATGAAAACAAAACAAAAACAACAACACCACCACCAACTAAAGGTTACTCTGTCTTGCTCAAATTCTCAACAGAAATGAATCCTCGGGCCATTTCTTTGAAGTTACTGAGTGTCTCATGAAATAACTTTATCTTTGACATGTGTAATACTGATATGAGATGACTATTGGACATATTACAATTGTGTAAAAGAAAACTACTGTTCCTATCAGTGACAGACTAACTGTAACCTTGTAATTTTACTACCCTTCCTGCCCTGTGTGTGGGCAGGCGTGTTTGTAAATTACAATTAAAAACCATTTTCTCTTTATGTTTCTTTTTGGGGTCTTCTGTTCAGAGTTGGTGGGCATGTGGAGGCGTGTGGATGGACTCAGGGGACCTAACAAACTGTGTTGCCCTAGAGCGGTGCTCCTTGCTGAGCTCCTGTACACATAAGAGCTGGTAGGAATTTTATGATGAGATAACAGAGCTTTGCTCTCGCTGACTGCGCCTGTTTCTGTTTCTATTTCAGCACTCAGCCTGGTATTGATTTGCGCACTACCCCTTGGTTTCTCCACTGGTGGCGGCAGTATTGAGTAGTGAGTGGTTTTATGGGCTAACCACCTGTGATCTTGAGTCCTTTCCTAAACTGATTGTATATCACTCTGGATCGTTCATATGGTCCTCTGTATAGCTGGTCTTTGTGATGCACTATGGTAAACTCAAATCTCTCAAACTAACATTAGAGGAAAGAGGTTAAAAACAAATGTCAGCTGAGAACAGCCCTGGATCAGGAATATTACAACTCCTTTGTCTCTGAGGTCTTAGCACATCTTTGGCTTCCCTGTTTCTGGAGATGCTAAAACTGACCTGTGAGTTTTTGCTGAGTTGCTCTAAACTAATTTTTTTCTTCCGTTTTTTATGGTGGTAAAATACACATCATAAAAATTTATCATCTTATCTACTTTTAAGTGTACAGTTCAGTGATATTGATTAAATTCATATTGTGCAACTATCACCACCACGTATCTCCAGAACTCTTTTCATCTTGCAAAACTACAATTCTATTAAACTCTATTAAACCATTAGACAATAACTCCCCACCCCCATCCATTAACAACCAACATGCTACTTTCCATCTCTATGATTTTGACAACTCTAAGTATCTTATATAAGTGGAACCATACAGTGTGTCTTTATTTTGCTCAGCAATAATGTCTTCAACCTTCATTCATATTGTAGAATATATCAGAATATCCCTTTTTTTTTTTAAAGTCTGGATAATACTCCCCTGTATGCATATACCACATTCTGCTTATCCATTCATCCGTTGGTGGACACTTGGGTTGCTTCCCAAGTGTCCTTATTTCAGTTATTGTGAACGATGCTACTATGAACAGAGGTGTACAAATATCTTTTCTCTTTTGATTTATGTGTCTTTGGATCTAAAGTGAGTCTCTTGTAGACAGCATATAGTTGGATCATGTTTTTTTTTTTTTCTTTCCATTCTGCCAATCTCTGTCTTTCGACTGGAGGGTTTAACCCCTCTATATTTAAAATAATTATTGTAAGGAGGGACTTAACTTGTGTTATTTTGCTATTTGTTTTCTACATGCCTTGTAGCTTTTTTGGTCCCTTATTTCCTATGTTACTCTCTCCTTTGTGTTTGATTTTTTTTGCAGTGAAATATTTTAACCCCTTCCTCATTTCCTTTTGTGTATATTCTGTAACTATTTTACTTGTGCTTACCATGTAGATTACATTTAATGTCCTAA